GGGTTCACGCCATTCTCCTGCCTCAGCCTCCTGAGTAGCTGGGACTACAGGCACCCGCCAACACGCCCAGCTAATTTTTTGTATTTTTAGTAGAGACGGGGTTTCACCGTGGTCTCGATCTCCTGACCTTGTGACCGCCCACCTCGGCCTCCCAAAGTGCTGGGATTACAGGCGTGAGCCACTGCGCCCGGCCCATTAAGTCATTTTATAAACTATCATAACAGTGATCATTTTTTCCAATTACCATTTACTCATGTCATCTCATTTTACCTCTATTTTTTACCTTACTAATACAAATTATTTTTGGTTCTGTTTTAAGACAAAGTCTCGCTTTGTCACTTAGGCTGGTCTCAAACTCCTGCCCTCAAGCCATCCTCCTGCCTTGGCCTCCCAAAGCACTGGGACGAGTCACTGTGCATCACCTACTAACACAAATGGTTTTAACTCCTTTTACAATCACTAGTTATCTAGTGATAACTGATTAACTTCAGGACCTTCTTCTACCTTACAAATATCTACTTTTCTACAGATTAGTTTGAGCCCAGAACTTTTTCATTTTTTTAAACCTAAATCTTAATCAAAATTATGCGCCAGAAATCTGAATCTCTCTTTATTTCTCTACTCTCAAAATATGATGATCGACAAAACTCAAACAAGAACGCTAACAATCTCCTTGCTTCTTGCATGCTATCTGAACATAAAGAGGTTTAATTAGAAACATGGTTTTGGCTGGGCCAAGGTGCCTCATGTCTGTAAGTCCAACCTTTGGGAGGCTGAGGCATGAGGATCGCGCTGAGGCCAGGAGTTCTGAGACAAGCTTGGGCAACAAACTGAGATACTCATCTCTACAAAAAATTTTAAAGGCCGGGCGTGGTGGCCTCACCCTGTAATCCCAGCACTCTGGAAGGCTGAGGCAGGCAGATCACAAGTCAGGAGTTCAAGACCAGACTGGCCAACATGGTGAAACCCTGTCTCCACTAAAGATACAAAAAAATTAGCCAGGCATGGTAGTGGGCACCTGTAATCCCAGCTACTCGGGAAGCTGAGGCAGCAGAATCGCTTGAACCCGGGAGAGGTGAGGTTGCAGTGAGCAGAGATCTTTGCCCACTGCACTCCAGCCTGAACGACAGTACGAGGCTCTGTCTAAAAAAAAAAAAAAAAAAAAATTTCTTTAAATTAAGCCAGACACGATGGCAACACACCTGTTGTCCAGCAGGTGGGCGTCGCCTGAGGGCCAGGAATGTTGAGGCCTGCATGCGCCATGATCGTGCCAACAACTCTAGCCTGATGACAGGAGCGAGGACTCTTTCACTAGGAAAAAAAAAAGGACAAAAAGGATGGGTTGCCAGTCGATTATGCCTGTAAACCCCTAACACATCTGGGAGGGCCAAGGCAGCGGCACTGCTTGAGGTTGAGGAGGTTTGAAGCATCGCCATGGGGCCATGTGGTGAAAACCCACCTCTACACCCATAACAAAAAAAAAAAAACAGCCTGGGTGTGCTGGGTGCACACCTGTGGGTCCAGCTACCCTGGAAGCTGAGGCGCGAGAATGCTTGAGCCACACGAAGGTCCAAGGGCTGCAGTGAGCCATGACAGAACCACTACACTCCAGCCTGGGAGACAGAGTAAGACCCTATCTCAAAAAAAACTCAATATGGTTTTGACGACTACAGATTTACTCTCTCCATAGGCAAATTAGCTTCATTTTCACAAAAACTATGTTCCAAAACCAAGGCTAAATCCCATCAGCTACCTCTTGGATCCAGATGAGATATGGTATATTCAGAATACATTTCATCACTAAGATTCTGGTGATATATCAGAAATGACATCTTAACAGGTATCAGACACTAGATCACGTTCTTTTAGCACACAACTGTGAACTATTTTAACTGTTTTCTTTGATAGGTGATAAGCTGCCAACTCCTATTCCATTTATCATCCATTCAAATATAAAGTCTCCCACTTGATACTTACATAGTTAGTTTAGGTCATCAAATATACAGCACACAGAATCCACTTTGGATAAACCACATTATCAAGCTCATTTTGAAATCCTATTTCTGTCTTCAAGATTTTCGAAATTATAAACTACTTTGCTGTCATTCACAAGTATGAAATTCTTATTTCCACCATCACTCAGACTGAGAAAAAAAGACAGAATAAAGACAAAGTTCCACAGGGTGTCCCCATCACTGCTCATTGTCATGAGTTTGACCACTGGGTAGGTTGTATATCTATAGTAATATGATCTAGTGCCTATCTCCTAAGATTACTATTTATCTTAGGAATAACGCATATTCATATTCTAAAACCTCATATTCACAGTAGTTACAAAACCACCACGTTATGCAAGCAGAGTCTGATTCAGTATATGGAATGGAAGAAGGAAAGAAACCATTATGTGCCAGGAAGCGTGCTCCTTTCTTTACACATGGTCTCAACTAATCCTCAACACTTTCAGGTATCAGTATTCTTCTTTGTTAATAAAAAAAAAAAAATGAAAGAAGTTAAGCAACTTACAGTATAAGCGACTTTGAAAACAGAAACCTAGCTCTATGTTAATGTGCTTAACATAAAGGTTTCTGTCTCTGGGTTTATGAGGTTAGTTGTAGGTGACTAGGCAACATAACATCTCTGAACCTCAGTTTCCTCATCTATAAAATGGAGTTGAAGTGAAATAATTCATGTAAGGTGTTTAATTCAGAGCCTACTATATAGTAAGCTCACTCAATAACTATTAGCATTGGTCAAACTCGAACTGCTAGTTCAGAAAATCAGAAGTCAAACTCTGGTCTGATTTCCAAGTTCATGCTCTTTCCACTACAACATGCTATAGTTGCCAATACACACTTCTTATCCACACAAGAATCCACACTTAACATATGACATAGATGGGAAACTGCTATTACCTAAATGAGGTAACTATCAAGATCTAATATAACCAGGCCAGGCGCGGTGGCTCACACCTGTAATTCCAGCACTTTGGGAGGCCGAGGTGGGTGAATCACCTGAGGTCAGGAGTTCAAGGCCAGCCTGGCCAATATGGTAAAACCCTGTCTCTACTAAAAATACAAAAATTAGCCGGGCAGGATAGTGGGTGCCTGTAATCCCAGCTACTCGGGAGGCTGAGGCATGAGAATCGCTTGTACCCAGGAGGCGGGGGGTACTGTGAGCTGAGATCACGCCATTGCACTACAGCCTGGGTGACAGAGCAAGACTCCATCTCCAGAAAAAAAAAAAAAGATCTAACGAAACCAGCAGAAGTATTTTAGCTCTAATATCTCATAAGATACCATTTAGAAAACTCCTCATAAGATACCGTTTAGACCTTCAGGTATACAGAGTTTTGTTCCAAATTCCATGAAACTAGTTTCCTACCTACGTAGGAATTTATCCTATTTATCTCAAACCAGTTGTAAATCAGAATTTTAATTACCAAAGGTCCCTCTAAAAAGCTTAGGTGACCTGAACAAAATGTCCCCTAGGGCAGGTACGGTGGCTCATGCCTATAATCCCAGCACTTTAGGAGGCCAAGACGGGAGAATCACTTGAGACTAAGAGCTCAACATCAGCCCCAGCAGCAAAGAGAGAACCCATCTCCACAAAAAATTTAAAAAACGAGTTGGGCATGGTGGCTTGCACTTATAGTGCCACCTACTTGGGAGGCTGGCAGGAGGATCACTTGAGCCTGAGAGGTAAGGCTGCAGTGAGCCAGGATCATACCACTGCACTCAAGCCTGGGTAACAGAGTGAGACCCTATCAGAAAAAAGGAAAGAAAGAGACAGAGAGAAAAAAACGAAAAGGAAAGAAAGGAAGCAAAAGAAAAGAGAAGAAGAGGGAAGGGAAGGAAGGAGAAATGGGCCTTCCTACAACAATCTGAACACTGCATCAACTTGAAGCTTGCCAATTTTACTTTCAAGATCAACTGCTACTTAATATTTTGTATTTAACTGTACCACTTTTAAATTAAAGCAACCGCCAAGCTCGGTGGCTCACGCCTGTAATACCAGTACTTTGGGAGGCCTAGGCGGGAGGATCACCGGAAGTCAGTAGTTCGAGACCAGCCTGGCCAACATGGTGAAACCCTGTTTCTACTAAAAATACAAAAAATTAGCTGGGTGTGGTGGCACATACCTGTAATCCCAGCTACTTAGGAGGCTGTGGCAGGAGAATCACTTGAACCCAGGAGGCAGAGGTTACAGTGAGCTGACTTCACACCACTGCACTCCAGCCTGGGTAACAGAGCAAGATGCCATCTCAAAAAAAAAAATTTAAAGCAACCGAATAGTGTCACTTTTACCACCCAATCCTCTGACCAAAGCCAGGCATTGTTGTTCTAACAAGGCTCAAAAATCTCACTTAACTATTTCACTCTCTGCCTGATCTAATGGTAGGATAATGCAAATCAAAGATAGTAGCAAAAGTTATGTTCTACAACAATCATTAATAATAGGTTTACTATTTCAAACAACTTCCAAGCACTGATTTGCCTTAAAGGGGGTTGCAAACCAGGATGAGATGCCCATACACACTGATTTTTGGCAACTGTAGTCTATTCAGCAAAGCAACAAACCTCTAGCGAAAAGAATGCCACATATATTCCAGTGAAACAAAATTAATACACGTGCCTTGGTAAAGAGGCTGAGTTCTAAGCAAAGATAGAGCACTGTTCATGATGTACTCACCCTTCAAAGGAATCAAATCGAAACACTTTCATTTTAGCAACGAAACTTTTAAAAGGCTTTATTTTGCAATAATTTTTCAAGTCCCTGCATTTCTTAGATTCTTTAAATTCTAACTTCCTGCCTCATAGATCTAAAATAGTCATGACATACCTAGGTATGCGCTACTCATTTAGTTAGAATAGTGCAGAGGAACACAAGTCTGTTTCTAGGGGTACGACTCCATACCCATTCATTTTGCACTAATACAACCACTAAATATAGCTCTAAGACACTGATGATTAAAAGCGGTTAATTATGTGAGTGATTCATACCTTCTATGTCCAAACACCAAGATTCAGGGATGTCTGTCAGATCTATGGGAAGAGGGGACAATAAACACCTGTCACAAAGCTTTTTTCCAAACCGGGAAGCCCCCAGCTGAGTTCCTGCCAATCCCAACCCGATTCCCTCCCCTTCATCCCTACCCCTCACCTCCCCAAAAAAGCTAGAGGTCACACTTCCACCAGAACCTGACTTTGTGAAGGGAATGGAGAGACAGGCCATAACGAGAGTGGCCACGAGAGCACTGCTAGGGGAAAGAGCCCTGGCTTCTTCTAGTCCGCACTGCCACAGAGTCCGAATGCGAGGCCTCAGGCAAGTCCGAAGGCACTTTTCCCCCACGGGACTCACTCATTTTATCTGTAAAATGCGGAGATGGCAAGCGGCTCCATACTCCACGGCTGAGGACGAGCTGGGGTCCCGCACAGACCCATCGAGGGCCCTGCCAGCACCCCACCGCCTCTGCCCGCAGGACCTCCAGCTCCCCCAGGACTTTCCGAAGGGCCGACTGCCAACCACCCCGCGCCCGGCCCCCACGCTCGCCCCTCCCAGGCCTTCGCCCACCGCGTGGGCTCCCGCCCTGGCCTCACCTGTCCCCGACACTCCAAGTCCCCGCGATGCCCAACTCCGGCCCGAGAAGACTGGCCGCGACCTCGCCCGGTACCCGCCGCCCCGACACCACCATTCGCCTCCTCGACCTCCCCCGTGGCCGCCGCCCACCCGCCCCTCGCCCCGCTCACCGGGGCCGCTCACTGGCCGCCGCCGCGCCGCCTCCTCCGCGGCCTCCCTCGCGACCGGACCAGCCCCAGGGGCCGCGGGGGGACCCGGCCGCCGCTGTCGCCGCCGCCGCCTCGCCTCAGCCCAGCCCCATCGCCCTCGGCCGGCGCCGCGCGCTGCGGCTCAGGGTGAGGGAAGGAGGCGCCGCGGCGGGGCCGGGCCGGCCCTGGGACCTCCGCGCTCTCCTCCTCCTCCGCGCCCGCGGCGGCGGCGTGCAGCCGGGCAGGCGAGAACAAGGGAGGGCGGCGGGAGGTGGGCAGGGGAGGGGGGCGGTCTGCACTCCGAAACGGCCCCCCGCCGCCAGCGACGTAGCGAACCCCCCTCCCCTCCGCGGCGGCGCCCGATCACGCTGCGGGGAGAGCCGGCGGGCGGGCGGGGGAGCGCGCGCGGGCTCAGGACTCCCGCGCCGGATGTGAGGTCACGTGGTGGCTTCATCCCCGCGCGGAGGGCGGAGGGCGGAGGGGCGCGGGCGACGTCAGGAGGCGGGGAGGGGGCGGGGCGATTCCTAGGCCCCGCCCACCCATCGCCTTTGCCACCCTCCAGCGGGCACAAGAAAGAGGCAGGTAAGGGGAGGCCGTCCAAAAACGCCGGGTGTCAGGCCAGGGTGGCTAATGGAGGGCGGCTTTTCTGGTGAGATGAAATGGGACGGCAAAACCCACTTCATCCCCTTTGGGCTATGACAACATCATAGTCCAAACTCCCATTTTATAAAGAAGGAAACTGAGGCTCACTGACTAGACAGACGTTGCCCAGAGCCATGCATGGAGGACGCTTGTGCTGGAATGGTGGCGAGGAAACCAGAGCCCAGCTCCCAATGCAAGGCTCTTTCATTCCTTTAACCACCCCCGCCCCCGCCAAAACAAACAAAACACTGTCATTCGCGTATGACCACGGACTCTGCGCGCCGGCCGCAGGCGGAGGACGGAGAGGAGCGCGCACGAGGAAGCTCCCACGCGCCCGCGGCTCGCCTCCGACGGGAAGGCGCCTCTTCCGACCGTCCTGGATGCAAATTAAATACTTCCCTCCGCAGAAGACTTATCTCGGGGTAGGGCCGCAGCCGGATTTCCAAATCGCGGGTTTGATTTTCGCGGCGTCCACTCCGCGACGCGCGCAGGGAGCCACCTGCAGCCTCGGGCTGCGGCCATCTTTCCGCCTGGGACCACCTGGCCTGAGCCCTTGGTGCCCGGCCCGCTCCGTGACTGTTCTTCTTGCCGCTACTTACAGAACTCAGCCGCCTCAGCGTCTTAGAGTAGGGGACGGCATGCACGCGGACCCTGCCCACCACACCTGCAGAGCAGGGAGCACTTACCCCTGGACACTTACCGGGGCCGCCACCTCTGGTCCACGCACGTGATGACATCTCACCTGGGGCAGCACACCGCCCCGAGTCTGCGACACTGATAACACCTCCCGGGGGCAGGAAAGCGCCACAGCCACCCCTGGTCCCCTAGATTGTGTGAGGCTGGCATTTCTGCACGCCTCTTGGCGTGGACAGCACGCTGGACCGAGATGGAGCCACAGCTTTCTCTGCCCAATCCCTGGCCTCACCGTTTTGTTTCATAACTCACCGTTTGTTTCAAACCTCGTGGTGTTGAAATGATTAAATGAGATAAGGGGTGTGGTAGTGTTGGGCAAACCGCAAGAAAGCGGTCTGGGTGGGGTCAGGCCCTAAAATCCTCCTCCTCCACCTCCCCGGCTTCCTTGCCTGGGTGTTCTCTCTCAGCCTTTAAACAGGCTGGCCTCTCCAAGTCCTAAAAACAAAATTATCAAGCCAACCTCCTCCTGTAGTGCCCCCTCGAACTAGCTTCCTAGTGTTGCATGCGGACCTCAAACAGTGGTCTTCCCTGGCTGCCTCTGCTTCCTCATTTCTCAACGCTTGGCATTCTGGCTTCTCCTCCCCGACTCTGACCCTTCTTCACCCTGCTCAGGCAAGAGTAACTCATGACTTTCATTTTGCCAAACCTTGCAGGCATTCCTCAGGCCTTATCTCTCTGGTTCTTTCTGCTACATATGACACCTTGCGATGGCTCTCACCTTCTGGAATCTCTCTACTACCTTGGTTTCAGGAGAGTGAACCCTCTCAATTATCACATGAAGGTAAGTAAAGCCTCTGCCTCCCTTGGTAGCATCCACTTGTGAATCTGCACCTTAAATTCAGGATTCCACTCTAAGCCAACAGCTTTTCTCACTTCACTCATTCTTCTGGGATAGCCTGCATCCTCATGGATGCAGCTCCCAAATTAGCAATTTCCAACCCAGACTCCTTCCACAAAATTTAGAACCAAATATCCAACTGCCTACCAGGCAGCTCTAGCTAGATACCACAGAGACACCCCAAACTGGACATTTCCAAAACTGAACTCATTCTCTGCTTTCATAGCTGCCCCTCCCTCAGTTGTTGGCACCACCATCTCCACAGTCATCAGAATTAGAAAGTTGGGAATGAGTGAGTCATTCTTAATTCAGCCTTCTGCCTTACCCAATCACCAAGTCCTATCTATTTCACCTCCTTAATAAGCCTCAAATTCCTACGGTGGGCCGGGCGCAGTGGCTCATGCCTGTAATCCCAGCACTTTGGGAGACCGAGGCTGGTGGATCACAAGGTTAGGAGTTCAAGACCAACCCGACCAACATGGTGAAACCTCATTTCTACTAACAATACAAAATTAGCTGGGCATGGTGGCACATGCCTGTAATCCCAGCTACTTGGGAGGCTGAGGCAGGAGAATCGCTTGAACCTGGGAGATGGAGGTTGCAGAGGGCTGAGATCGTGCCATTGCACTCCAGCCTGGCAACGAGCAAAACTGCATCTAAAAAAAAAAAAAAAAAATTCCTACGGTGGTTCCCACTGGCATCCACCCTTTCCAGCCTGAACTGTTAGACGAATTCAGCCTTCAGAATGAACTACAGGGCACTCCATTTAAAATCCTCAGAGTTCCCCCGAGGCTTCTGGCTGCAGTGTATACCTCCTAGCTACCCAGCATGAACCTGTCAACTCATTCGGGCTTTTAAAAAATCACAGAGAGCCCCAGAATTCGAGGTGCAGCCAAAGTAAGACAACGTGCAGCCAGGCAAGGGAAAGCTCTAGGAAAAAGAGAAGAGCAGTTGGATATTCCAAAACCTTTTCTGTTACAGATGTTCTGAGAATGGTGAAAAAAGAATTTGGACACTGGCTTTGGAGGAAGTGCTGAGTCACCAGGAAAGGCTTGAGCATGTTTACAGGTTGAAGGAAAAGAAGGTGCAAAAAAAAAAAGAAGAAACTCAAGATAGGGGAGAGAAAGGTGTGGAACAGTCTAGGGAAGTTCTGGAAGGCTTGCTGGTTCTCAAGTCATGATGATTCTGGGTCCAAGCCCACTGCTTCCTTCCTCTGATCCTACTCACTGTAAGGGCCAACCCTGATTGCAGCTGCATGGAGATAACAGTCATGCTAGTAAGGTCTGACTTCACTTCTCACAAAGGCTATGTCGCATCTCCTCCATCCTCAAAACCCCCATCTTTGCGTGCCCTTCCCTCTCACTATCCCCTTACCTCCTATTTCACTAAGAAAACCTACACCATCAAGAGGCAACATCCTCATCTTCATGCCCGTAAACCTGCCCATCATCCTACCTCGGCCCCAGGGTCTCTTTTCCCACTCCAGAGGGGCAAAGCCTCCTCCTAACAGAGCTGGCTCTCCACAGAAATGACCACTGTTAGGCCAACTCCCCGGGCTAGGCCTCCCCAGAATATTACTGTTGCCAACTCCGGAGGACACTTTGCAGGCCTTGTCTTTCTAGTTCTCTCAGCAGCATGCGTCTCCTACTCTTGAGACACTCTGCTGTTAGTTTTGATAACATACCTGTTTTGGAATTCCTCCTCCCTGTTTCTCTCTGTCCACTCTGTCTCAACCTCCCCAGGTGCTTCCTGTGTCCTGCTTCTAAATGTTGCTGTTCCCCAGGGCTTAACCTAGGACCCATTCCTGTGTCTACACAAGGTTTGTTGTTTTTTTGTTTGTTTGTTTTTAATTTGACATCTCTTGACCATACAAGAGTTGTGGACAGGCTTCAGAAGGATCTATAAGCTCCTTAAACTTGGATGCAAATACTTTTAAAGGAAGAAGTGGAGCTTTTAGCAGCTTCTCAGAGGTGTCTGGGTACCCCAAAAAAGATAAGAGGACTAAACCACATGCTCTCCCCTGGTGGCCTCATCTACCATGGCTATAGCTGTCATCTGCGTATACATTAATAACTGTCAACTGAGGCTGGGCGTAGTGGCTCACACCTTTAATCCCAGCACCTTGGGAGGCCAAGGCGGATGGATCACCTGAGGTCAGGAGTTTGAGACCAGCCTGGCCAACATGGTGAAACCCCATCTCCACTAAACATACAAAAATTAGCTGGACGTGGTGTTGTGCACCTGTAATCCCAGCTACTTAGGAGGCTGAGGCAGGAGAATCACTTGAACCCAGGAGGCGGAGGCTACAGTGAGCTGAGATGGCACCATTGCACTCCAGCCTTGTTGACAGAGCAAGACTCTGTCTCAAAAACAAAAACAAAAAACAAAATTGTCAACCATATGGCTGCAGCCCAGGCCTCTCCTCAGAGTCCCATGGCCATTCCTCCCTATCGTTTTCACACGGTGTTTCACCGGCGCCAGATAAGTTCACTTATCCCAAACTCAACTCCTGCCTTTCTTCCCCAAACCAGCTCCTCTCCTGGGCCTCCTGACCTTAGCAAAGATGCTCTCTCCCAAACAACTGCTGAAGCCCAAAACCTGGGAGTCATTCTTTACACCTCCTTCTCCTTCCCCACCCCATCCAATCCAACACCAAGTCCATTTCAAATCCTTCCGCATCACTCCGTCTTCACTGCCACTAGAATAATGCATGCCCCCTCCGTCTCTCACCTGGCATGCCCCCTCCATCTCTCACCTGGCATGCCCGCCTCCATCTCTCACCTGGCATGCCCCCTCCATCTCTCACCTGGCATGCCCCCTCCATCTCTCACCTGGCATGCCCCCTCCATCTCTCACCTGGCACTAGTGCATTTGCTCGCAGCGGGTTCCTCTGCTTTACTCTTGCCCACCTTTAGTGCATTCTTGCACAGCAGCCAGAGTATTAGTTTATGTGACTTCAAGCAGAGCTACTGATAAAAGCGTTCACTTGCTTCCCATCTCACTTAGAATACTAGATGAACTTCTTGGGTCCACAAAGTCCAGTGCAGGATGTGACCTGCCCACCACTTCCCCCTTCACTGGCACTCCTCTGCCCTCCCTGTCTTCTCATCACAGACCCC